CCTGCAATCTCTGCTACAACCTAGAGAGCTACCTGTGGCAGCATTACACATCTCTACCCCCCACTACTGAGGAGAACATTGCTGCCAGTATTGACATGTTCCTTGGGGTGTGAGAGGCATGTGGCTGCCTGGCTGCAGGGGCATAGGCTGCTCAAGAAAGTTTTGCAGTGTGTCCTGCCTCTCTGCGTGTTGTGGGGAGGAAACCGGGGCTAGGAGACCACAGACAGCCAGGTTCCCCCTAGTGCAAGACTTACCATGTGTCTGGGGCTGGCAAGGCTGGCGGCTCAGCGCAGTTCTCCCCATCAGCAATGGCATGTGGCTGTGCCCAGTGTCCTGGTCCTGCGGTGCGTGACTTATAGGCACCACGCCATGCCCTCCCCCCAACTGGTCATGCCCTCACTCCTGCATCCCACCCAGAGCCTCATAAATCTAGGCATTTGAGCGTGTGGAGGGCACAGGTGTGTGCATGTGGGTGGTGCTGGGCCTGGATGGAAAGGAGGAGACCATCAAGTGTCCCATGCTGGCTCTCTGGGCCCTCCATGCAGCTGTCCCACTGTTGCTGACCTTGGGTAGCTGCCAGCAGCACCCAGGATAGGGGCATAGCACTGGACTGGCAGTCACGTGGCAGTGGCTATGCCCCACAACAGCTGCAGGCACAGGGCAGACTACGTGGAGCCCTTGGGTGCTGACAGGCTGGCCAGGGGCTGCAGTAGCCTGCAGTAACTGTCCAGCACCTACCTGGCCTGAAAGCAGTGCCCTGGCAGCTACAAGGCTATGCATAGCCAAGCAGCAGTGCAGGCAGACCCAGGCACAGGCACGGATGAATCATGTGGTTGCCCAGGGCCCAGACAGAATGGGGACCCGAAAATAGTAATTTTTTTTCCAATTTTTGTCCAAGATTATTATTATCATTATCTCTGGCAAAGGGGGACCCAATAGTAAAAGTTTGCCTGGTGCCACCAGGAGTCTAGGTATGGTACTGAGTGCAGGGCTTGAGACAGGCAGGCACAGCTCAGCTGGGGCCTGTCCAGGGGTGCATACAGGGCCTGCAGTGCCCAGGGCATAAAATGGCTACAGACCTTTATAGCCTGCAGTCAGGGGCTGCCCACAAGGCAGCCCAGCCCTGGAGCAAGAAAGGCTCCTAGGCTGCAGCCCTGGGGCGGTCCTCAGGCTGACCCCCTAATGGCTGGCTAGACCCAGCAGCAAATTTGCTGCCGGGTCATGTCTCCACATGCATTACTGTGCAGTTACTAATCATGCTTAAATTTGCTACCTATTGGTAGCAAATTTAACCATGATTAGGGATTTTTACTGCACAGTAAGCGCATGCACATGTAGACGTGCATGGTTACTGCGCAGTAAACTAGGCAACGGTGCAGTAAATTATCTCATGTAGACACGCCCAGAAAGCTGAGTGTTTTGTTGGGTTTTTTAACACTAGGGACTACCATATAATACCCAACAACTGAGGACTCTGACCTCCTCCCAAATACCAACAAAATTTATGCACTGTTGCCTTGTTTGTATTTCACCTTACAAAGTCTGCCAGACTGTATGTTAAATGCTATTTTTCACTGAAATGGAAGCACTGTCAAGTAGATTCAACACAAGTAACCTGGCAAAGGTTTTGTATCACTCAAGCATCAGATTGTCCAAACATTATGTTAAATCAGTCCTCACTTTTCAGCAGAAGGGTTAATTTATGTGTTTTCTACACACTAAAAACAGCTCGGAGCCTGTGATTTATCTCAAAAGTCTCAGCAGTTCTTTAAAATTAGTCATTCGGTTGTTTTAGTACAGCTAAGGCCTTAAAACTAAGAGTACATTTGAGTTAACCCACACCCACAAAGAGAAGTTTCACTGTCATGAGATGTGTGGCAGGTGGCTGGGGATGCCTACTTCCCTTTTTATGTTCAGACTGTATTCCTCCTGCCTCTTATCCCTTCAGGTTTGGACAACTCCCAAGATGCAGAGGACTGCTCCAGAGGAGTAATCCTGTATTGTCTCTAAAGGGGTGACTCCCATTGTCGGGTTTTCCTATCCAGACTCGGACAGGAACTTGTGCTTCCAAGCAAAGCTCTTTCATCCTGCACTTCCCATAGTAAAGTACAGTTTAATTAGGCTGTAGAAAAGTCTGTGTTTCTATCTCCCTTCTTCCAAAACTTTCTCCCTTTTGACCTGTTTCTGCTACTTTTGACTTGCTTAATTCTCTTCCCCTTCTGAGACTTGTTTCAACTCCTTTCTTTTTTCTAAAAACCCAAACCAAAACCAAAGCAAATGTTTATTATGTACCCAAGGAGTTGATCAGGCCTGCTTCTGCTCTTTTCCATGGGAAGTTTTAGTAAATGGCCTTGTCACTTTATATATAAGATACTCCTCATCTTCATCTTAGTAAGCTCCTTATTCTGGGAGGAACAAACTGTCCTTGACTCCCTACCACATCCAGACAAATTAATTCAGCTACAATTATATTAACCTCTGTATTGCCAGATCATGGCTTAAATTTCTACAGCAAATAACAGTGACATATCTTTCTGTTCCTTTCCTCCCTGCCAGTCATGTCAGACCAAGGCTTCCATTAACTCCTTTCTGTCATGCAGCACTTGTGTGGTGTTGTTCCAGATAATGTGCTTTAGGTTGATTTAAACAGTGGTCTCTTAAACATCCTTGTTATCTTCTTGCCTAACTTTTTTCTCCAGACTTGCTTTATAAGAGCTGTCTTCCTCTTGCATGGTTTACCTCTAGGCCCATGTTGCTGGAACTGGACTACCTGACAGAATTCTAAGGGGGACATGAGAGAGAAGAATCATCATGGTGTCCTGTGACCAGTGGGGTCCCCCAAAGCTCTGTCCTTGGACCCATATTGTTTAACATCTTCATTAATGATGTGGACATTGGAGTCAGAAGCAGACTGGCCAAGGTCGCTGATGACACCAAACACTTTGGGGCAAAGCATCCACACCAAAAGCCAGGCGGGTGATCCAAGCTGACCTGGACAGGCTCAGCAAATGGGTGGACGAGAACCTGATGGTGTTTAACACTGAAAAATACAAGGTTCTCCACCTTAGGAAGAAAAACCAGCAGCATCCTTATAGCCTCGGCAGTGCTACGCTGGCTAGCACTATGGAAGAAAGAGACTTGGGGGTCATCATTGACCACAAGATGAACATGAGCCTGCAATGCGATGCTGCAGCTAGTAAAGCGACCAAAAAGCTGGCTTGCATCCATAGATGCTTCTCAAGCAAATCCCAGGATGTCATTCTCCCCTTGTACTTGGCCTTGGTGAGGCTGCAGCTGGAGTACTGCGTCCAGTTTTGGGCTCCACAATTCAAAAAGGATGTGGAGAAGCTTGAGAGAGTCCAGAGAAGAGCCACGTGCATGATCAGAGGTCAGGAAAACAGACCTTACGACGACAGGCTGAGAGCCATGGGGCTCTTTAGCTTGGAAAAGCGCAGGCTCAGGGGTGATCTGATGGCCACCTATAAGTTCATCGGGGTGACCACCAGTATCTGGGAGAATGTTTGTTCACCAGAGCACCCAAAGGGATGACGAGGTTGAACGGTCAAAAACTACTACAAGACCGTTTCAGGCTGGACATAAGGAAGACTTTCTTTACTGTCCAAGCCCCCAAGGTCTGGAACAGCCTGCCATCGGAGGTGGTTCAAGCACCTACATTGAACACCTTCAAGAGCAAATTGGATGCTTGTCTTGCTGGCATCCTATGACCCCAGCTGACTTCCTGCCTCAATGATCTTCCGAGGTCCCTTCCAGCCCTAATGTCTATGAAATCTATGAAGAATGGGAAGATAGAAATATATCCATAGGGGAAGCAACTGAACAGTAGATCTAGGGCAGTGGTTCTCAATCCCATTAGACTCAAGGCACCCCTCAGATAATGCCAGCATTTAGTTTTCACTTGTTTTTTACTAGGGAAAAATTACGGAGCAGTTTTTCTGTTGCAAAGAACTCGGCCCACAACAGGTAAGCATGTTAACACTCTGGATTCTCTGAGATTAGGTTAAATCTCTGGGTATATCTTGTATGGCACCCTTGAAAGGATCTCAGGATCCCCCAGGGTTCTGCAAACCCATTGAGAATCACTGTTCTAAGGTGTTGGAAAACACCAGGGTGCACCCGCATGCTGCTTTTTTATTCCTGCTACCCCCCAAAGCTTAAAACCAACTGCCTGGCAGTGGCAGCAGCATTTCTAATCAGACCTTGCTGAGGGAGTCAATTAACTTCATGGCTCATTATAAGCCACATAATCCCAAGGTCCCATCTAAACACTTCATTCCACAGGTGTTAAGGACCCTATCTACTTAATAGTTTTGACATCCCATGAATCAAGCTATCCTTTGTCTTGCAGTTCTGTCTGTTCACTGCTCCTCGCAATAAAGCATCTATTTCAAAGCCCTGGAGACAGTGCCATAGTGACAAAGTTTGGCACCTAGGGCAAAGCCTGCAGCAGCAGCCTGCTCTCACCCTCCGTGCAGATACAGGGGGCTCATGCTCCCCCCCATGCTTGCCCGGGAGTGCATGAAGCAGCTGGAGCTGCCCTTCTCCCATCCCCGTGCCCCACCCCCATCTCCCCCCAAAATGAGCCGCTTGTGGCTCCATCCCATACCCCAGCCTGGCTAGGCAGCACCTGTTGGGGCCCCTTTGCTTTGGTGCCTGGGGTGGTTGCCCACTTAGCCCCTCCTTGCTACAGCACTGCCTGGAGATGTGTGTGTGGAGGGGGTGTCTTTTTAACTCATTCCAATGATATGATGATTGTGCAGGCTCGGTGTATCCGATGCCGCACCCGCCTTCTCTCACGCCTCGCCCACAGCGCTTCCAATCACTACGGGTCCCTCCTCTCGGCCTGTACGCACTTGATACGCCTGCCACAACTTTGATGTTATTCCGGTTCAGTGATCTTACTCTGGCGCGTACCAGTCTGAAAGTGAGACTCCAGGACTCTTGGGGTCCCTAGTCTGTGAGG